GCTACTGTGTAGAAAGCAGATGCTGTGTTGAAAGCAGCTACTCTGTTAAAAGCAGCTACTGTGTTGAAAGCAGCAGTATTGGAGGTAAAACGACACTTCATGAAATTTAATTACTGGGTAAATGTAAAATCAATGATAAATCATGTACTGTAAAATCATCAACTACTGCAAAAAAAAATATTTGTGATTAATCACTGTGCTTTATGTTCAATTTGTAACAATGAACATACATCCTGCATATCAGATATTTACATTAAGATTCATAATAGTAGCAAAATTACATTTTATGAAGTAGCAACGAAAATAATTTTATGGTTCGGCGTCACCACAACATGAGGAACTGTATTAAAGGGTCACGGCATTAGGAAGGTTGAGAACCACTGCCATAGAGTAACAGACGGCTCCAGCCACACAAACAAAGCACTCATTTACACTGTATGAGCCAGAGAACTCATGTGAATGAGCCCCTAATTGTTTTTATTATTATATACAATTTTTTTAAATATTTTTATATTTATTAATTTTTTTATTTTTTACATTGTTTTACAGTTCTGTTGGGAGCTTTTGGTGAAATACCAGGGGTCTAAACAGACCTGAAGTCTCACTTTTTAGACAGAGAAAAGAAAAGAAACTGAGAACATAGTTTCCTCAATCCCTTTTCTCTGCAGCCTCAGCTACACTGCCGATGAATGAGCAGGAGGTGCTCTGTACAGTGGCTCCTGTTCAGTCATGAACTGAAGCATAGTAAATGCAGTTTACTATGCTTCAGCTATGGATAAACACAGTGAATGATTGGCTCCGATCACTCTCATTCAGGCTTTACTGGCTTATTTCCCCTCTCTCCATCCTGAAATGATCCCTATCAGGGAACAATAGGATCACGCAGCGCATGAATCTGTGCATGCGCAGGATTCCGACAAGGCATAGAGGCAGGCGGGCACTAGGACCCAGGCGCACCTGTCACCGATGACAGCGCCGGGCAGGCACTAGGACCCAGGCGTGCCTGTTGGCACTGGGCGGGCTATTTAAAGAGCACCTCGGTGCTGATTTAGTGCTAACTGGCCTTTCAGCTCCCACCGTGTCCTGCTTGTTCCTGACGTTCCCTTTGTTGCTGACCCGGCTTGTTCCTGACCCAACTCCGATTGCTCTCCTGCTCCTGGTTCCTAACTTCGGCTCTGCTCCTGACCTTGGCTTTCTCTTCTGATTCAGTACTGCGCTGCCCGACTGTTTATGACCCTGGCTTTTCTGACCCTGCTCCAGTCCTGTTCCTGGCTACCTACCTTGCTCTGCTGCACATCCGGCAATCCACAATACCTGCCTGCTCTATTGCTACTGTACCTAGACTCCCCCTGTTCCAACCTCAGTGGGGTCAGGGCTAGGGACACAAGTGAGGCCGACCTCGTCAACTCAGTCTCCCATCAGGTACATGACAATCCCCGTGTGCCTGCAGTAGCTGGCAAGAGGGAGAAGAGGGAGGCCGGCAGCGTTGTGAGAGGGGCACACAGTGGGGCCCAGGCAGCAGAAGGAAGGGGATCTTTGACAGAGATACAGCAGCTGAAAGCCAGTGGGAGAGGCGAGGAGGGGAAGCTGGAATTGCTGTGCAAGAGAAGGTGTAGGGGGGACAGAGGGGGGACCGGCAGCAGGGGGAATTGGATATTGAAGAGAATTGGGGATAGTGGACAGGAGGGTTATCGATACTGAAACTGATCCTCTGTATGGCTTTCTCTGCAGCAGATGAAGGCCGACAGGGGAGATAAGAGGAGAAGCTGGATTTCAGTTGCTGAAAAGACAGCCACGTAGAGGATTGGTTCCTGTAATTGCCCCCTCATTTACACCAATCACCCCTTCCTGTCCACTATCCCACTGTCTGATTCCCCTTGCTGCCCGGGCTTCCCTGCTGAACTTATGGGGCTGGGCCCTGTACCCGAAATGCTGTGGAACCCCCTTATCAGTGGCCATGATTGCATCTGATGCTACCCTCTCCACAGAGACAATGTTTCTGTTCAAGAGTGGCTTTTTTATTCCTTTATCCAAAGTGGAGCTATCCTAAGACAGGCTGTGTGTTACTGTCTAGATCACCATGTGAATATAAAGAAAAGAAGCCTAAAAAAGAAAACTAATGTAATCACCACATCTAAGAATTGGTAAGCTGCAATATAAAGGAATATTGCAGCTTACCAGCTTATGCCAAGGAATGGCGAGAGCAAATGGCTTCTAAAGTCAATTAAAGAAGGACTTACATATCACAGCTGTGGAGACACACAGACTATGCTAAATCCTTTTTGAACAGACATCCATCCAGAGCTTCATTTGAAAGTGAAAACATCCACACAAAAATTGTACTCCGGACAGGACTCCCACTTTAATTCTTACATCATGGATCCAGATAGGAGTGTAGACATTCCACATTAAACTTTGGAGATCAGGTTTCACATGTCAGGTTCCACGTACTTAGTGCATTCTAGCAGATCTTCAGTCTGTTCTGCAGGCCTCAGAGGAAAAGCAAAGGCGCAAGCAGCATCAGCAGCAGTTTTATATGCTCAAAAAGAAGCCTACTTGATGAGGCATAAAGCAGATCTAGAAGCTAGTATGCATGTGTTGCAGACTCAGAGGGCAACAGCATCAGCAGAAGTTGTAGTATATGAAACTATGGTTGGTTTAGAAGGAGATCCTCTTCAGGACCTTGTGGAAATAGCAACTCACAATTTAGTATAAATGACTCAGGAATACTGTATGTACAGAACCATGCCCAAGACCAAGTTATGACAGAGCATGCTTCTAGTAAGCCTATCTCCAGCACAATTCCACAGTTTCCTGATTTGACATACTGGCAGCCCTCTCCAGATATGCCTGAACTACACCCTACTCTTCACATTAAGGGCTCATGTAGACGAGCAGCTCCTAAACTCGAGTTTAGGGGCTTTTGGCATTTTTTTGCCAAAGCTAATAAACTCAACTCCATAAAACCTATGTGTCCATGTACACATAGGCTTTTAGCAGAGTTTAGGAGCTGCTGTGTTTAGGTGAGGTTAAACCTCCCTCTCCTGAACGCGGAAGACTCGTGTTCAGGATAAGAACGTTTTGACTGCCGACCACGGGAAAACGTGAAAAACGGCAAAAACTAGGTACTGCGGTTGCTGCGTTTTCTCACGATTTGCGTTTTCCCACGGCCAGCGGTCAGGGTATGCTTGTGTACATGGAGCCTAACTCTGAGAATGTCCCAGTGCGAAGGATACATGTTCAAAAAATCAAAGATGATGCTAACCCTCAGCATCCATAACATGACCTGGATTATCATGTGTCCTCCTTCAGAAATGGTCCTTTAGGATCCTCAGTTACAAGTTATCTAGTAAAGCACCCAATTCTGCAAGAGTTAGTAAGCACTGGGCTACCAACATTTCATGATTGCCTGAAAACGATTTGGCATAGAAAAGATCTTTCCAAGGCATTACTCATTATTATGGCTAGAGAGAAGCTAGATCTGCTAACAAAGCAGCTTGGACCAGAGTAATCTCAACAGGCCAAGATAATCAGGTCTCTACACATTCATAATCCAGCTAGCAACCTGAAGCTTTTGAAAATGCTCTATTGAAGAAACTGGAAGACTTCCCTAACATATCTGACAAAGACAACCTAATGTTAGGAGAACTTGGTGTTGGGGATCAATGCAGTCAAGTCTAATGGCCACTTACCAGGACTGGGATTCCTAGACACAGCACATGGGATTAAACCAATAATTAAAAAGCTCCCATTTAGTCTGCAAGATTTCTCAATATTCTAAGTATAAGGAAAATCATCACGTCTCAACGTCCAGTTTCTTCACCAGATTTATTGTCAACCAAGCAAAGACTAGAGTTGACCCAAGCTTCATATTCTCAACATGCAGTAACCAACAAACACAGAGAAGATAGAAGCAAAGCATGGCAACAGACCAGCAGTGTCAGTGAGAAAGACAGAGGTGTCAGCCACTGATGCAGCTTTACAGTTTAACATCTCTGAAAAGATGTCCAGGGAACCAGACAGTTCATGTCCAATCCATAAAAAACACGCCCGCTGTCAAAGTGCCATGGAATCAGGAGCAAGCAGATTGATGAGAATAAAGCTTACCTGAAAGAAAATGCTGTCTGCTTCAGATGTTGTACATCCACCAAAAACATTGCTAAGACTGCATGGTCAATAAAAGTTGCAGAGAGTGCAGTGGTGACCAGCATACTTCGGCACTGAATCCAGATCCAGTCCCTTGGACAACAGAGACCCTAGCAACCAACAAAGAGCAAGGCGAGTTAACTTATCCCATGAACTGTTGTATCCAAGTGTACGGAGGCATGTGCAGAAGGGACAAGGCCTAGATTGTGTGACTGTATACCCCTCTAACAAACTTGACTGTTCTGTGAAAATGTATGCAGTGATAGATGATTAATGTAATAGCTCATTACCTGAGTCAGAGTTCTTTAACCACTTGCCTACCAGGCACTTATACCCCCTTATTTACCAGGCCAATTTTCAGCTTTCAGCGCTGCCGCACTTTGATTGACAATTGCACGGTCATGCAACATTGTACCCATATGAAATTTTGATCATTTTTTTCTCACAAATAGAGCTTTCTTTTGGTGGTATTTAATCTCCACTGGGCGCCTTAACTTTTTGCGCTATAAATAAAAAAGGTGCAAAAAATTTGAAAAAAAAAAGTTTCTTTGTTTCTATTATAAAATTTTTCAAACAGGTAATTTTTCTCCTTCACTGATGTGCGTTGATGAGGCAGCACTGATGGGCACTGATAGGCGGCACTGATGGGCACTGATAGGCGGCACTAAAGGGCACTGATAGACAGCACTAATGAGGTGGCACGGATAGGTGGCACTGATAGACAGCACTAATGAGGTGTCACGGATAGGCGGCACTAATATGCAGCACTGATAGGCGGCACTGATAGGTGACACTGATGATGGGTACTGATAGACGGCACTGACTGGCATCACTGCTGGGCATTGACTGGCGGCACTGACTGGCACAGCCGCTGGGCACTGACTGGTGGCACTGACTGGCAGCACTGCTGGGCTGCACTGGTGGGTGGCACTGGTGGGCAGCACTGGTGGGTGGGCACAGGTGGGTGGCACTGGTGGGCACAGATGGGTGGTACTGGTGGGCACAGGTGGGTGGGCACAGGTGGGTGGCACTGCTGGGCACAGGTAGGTGGCACTTCTGGGCACAGGTGTGTGACACTGCAGAGTGGCACAGGTGGGTGCACTGCTGGGCACAGGTGGGTGATCTGCTGGGCACAGGTGGGCGGAGTTAGTGGGCGCACTGCTGGGCACAGGTGGGCGGAACTTGCGGGTGGCACTGCTGGGCACCGATCATCAGGGCACTGATCATCAGTGCCCTGATGATCGGTGCCGATCCTCGCTCTGACAACTGCCGATTCTCGGCAGTACTTTCCTCACGATCTGACAGCGTGAGGAAAGTGCAGCCGAGAACCGGCACTTGCATTTCCCTCTGATCAGCGTGTCATTGGACACCGCTGATCAGGTGGTAAAAGGCCGCTGTGATTGGCCTTTTACCACATCACGTGATCAGCTGTGTCCGTAGGACACAGCGATCACGGAGATCGCCGGGTGCGCGCACCCTGGGGCGCTCAGGAGAGCGCGTTCTGGTGGGACGTCCTATGACGTCCACTCAGAACTGGCCGGCCGCAGTGCAGCCGTCATTCGGCTATCTGCGGTCGGCAACTAGTTAATGTGTTCAACATTAGTGGTGAAATGTTCTCTTACACACTAAAAATATGCTCAGGTACTATGGCAAAAACAGGGCATAGGGCATCCAACTTTATTGTTCAGTCTGTTTATGGGAAAACACACATGCTAGATACAACACATGAGATACCAAATCTTCACTTTAGGAGTTGAGGTCTACTTAACAATAGGACAGAATATATTTTATCAGTTCAATATACACAGCAAGTTACTGACAGTTTTTCATGCCATGCCTGCCTTGTGTTTTCTGTATAAAAATGCCTTTTTAACCACTAGCCTACAGGGCACTTAAACCCCCTTCCTGTCCAGGCCAATTTTCAGCTTTCAGCGCTGTCACACTTTGAATGACAATTGCGCGGTCATGCAACACTGTACCCATATGAAATGTTTATCATGTTTTTGAGACAGATAGAGCTTTCTTTTGGTGGTATTTAATCATCTCTGGGATTTTTATTTTTTCTTAAACAAACCAAAAACCACTGAAAATTTAAAAAAAAAACAAACGTTTTTCTTAGTTTTTGTTATTCAATTTTGTAAATAAGTGATTTTTCTCCTTCACTGATGCGCGCTAATGAGGCTGCAGTGATGGGCACTGATAGGCTGCACTGATGGACACTGATAGGTGGCACTGATGGGCACTGATGAGGAGGCACTGGTAGGTTCCACTGATGGCCATTGACAGGCATCACTGATGGGCACTGAAAGGCCGCACTGATACATTACACTGATATATGGCACTGATAGGCAGCACTGACTGGCACTGATAGGCAGCACTGACTGGCACTGTTAGGCGGCCCTGACTGGCACTGATAGGTGGCACTGACTGGCACTGATAGGCGGCACTGATGTGCACTGATAGGAGACACTGACTGGCACTGATAGGTGGCACTGATTGGCATTGATAGGTGGCACTGACTGGCACTGATGGGTGACATTGAAAGGCAGCTCAGATGAACACTGATATGTGGCATTGATGTGCACTGGTATGCACTGATATGTGGCATTGATGTGGCACTGATGGGCATTGGCACGTGGCACTGATGAGCACTGACTGCTGGCACTGATGGACACTGACAGGTGGCACTTCTGGGGCCACACTGATTATCAGGGCCACACTGATTATCAGGGCACACTGATCATCAGTGCCTTGATGATCAGTGTACATGTCCCCTCCGCGGAAAGCCGATTACCGGCTCTCCTCTCCTCTCGAGCTGTCAGCGTGACAGCTCGAGAGGAGAGAAATGCCGATAACCGGCATTTCCGTGTTTACATGTGATCAGCTGTGATTGGACACAGCTGATCACATGACCGAGCCGATATCTTCGGCTCTTTTCGTGATCCGCTGTGTCCGAGGGACACAACGCACCGGCGATCGGCGCGCTGCGTGCTCCCTGAGTCGCGCATGCGTGGCGAGAATGGAAGGACGTCATATGACGTCCTATCAGAACGAGAGAACCACCTTGCGCCTGTCATTGTACTATATGGCTGGCGGAAGGTGGTTAAAGGACAGTTTAGCTAGCAGTGCTTAAAATATCGCTAATAATGTATGGGAATTGCGCTGGTTCCCATGCCATCCTCAAGGTCTGTTCTGACACAGTTATGGTTGGGTCAGAAAGAAAATTTTGTGATTGATTGATTTAGACCAATGTGCACAACATAGGAGATACCATCATTCTTAATGGGTCTCACACAAAACTGGAGGGGGGTTTATTTTCTAGACAGAAAATCTAGGAACATATCTAGGACAGAACCGGTCATGAATCAGATATTTATTAACAAATAGAAGGTTGCTGAGTCAGCACAAAGTTTATAGAAAAGAGCAGTTCCATCATCACTTGATGCAGCTACTACTATAGACATTTCTCTGATATTCAAAATAATTTTAGGACCAGTAAACCAAGAAAATGTTTTGTGCTGATGAGGTGAGGTTAGCAGACAGGTTGTGTGCCTACAAGTGCTAGGGATGGAGATTACTAGGTAAAGGACTGAAAAAAATAAAAATAAACAAATACCCATTCCATATAAGAAGCCTGTGTTGAATTCCTTCTGCTAATGTGTTTCACTCTTTTTTCCTGATTGTAGCTAGAAGGAAATGAGATAATGGGAAAATATCAATTAAACTATAGTGATGCTTGGTACATGCCAGTGCTGGATGCACAAAAGAACATTTAGTACCTGAGTATGTCCAGCAGTTTGGCAAAGGAGCCACAATTTTAGGTATGGCATAGCATCTACAGGCAATACTATTTAGAATATGAAGCTGTACAACATAAAGTGAAGGTTGCACTATGTGCTTGTGTGTTTTGAAGCATTTGGTGTGATCCGTGTGTCCTTACCATCCTAATTTGACCTCTCTGCCTATTAGGTCTAGGTCACAAACCAGCAACAGAATTACTATGCAAGACAAGGCCGAGCAGATTTCATAATGGTTTTTCATTATTTATTCTAGACTCACCTGTTTCCACAGGTTGCTTGATTACTGTCTGGATGTGTGTGGCATTACCCCATCACTGGCAAGTGACGTTCTATAGAGTTTCTGTCAGTAAGGGAGTGACAGTCTGCTCCTCACCAGCAGCAGAACTGAGTATTTTCATGGTACGTATTAACAATGATGTTGCTTGCATGGTGAAAAAAATAAAAAGCAGAATTTTAAAAATATCATTTAGTTTGGGTTTTTATCTACTATAATTAAAGCTGAATTCTAGGCAGATATAAAATACACAAATGAATGCACCACTGTAATCATAACTACATTGTTAAACATATTTTTTAAATGCAAGCAGTGTAAATATCTGAATTTGAATCATAGAAACATACACTACAAGAGGCCTGGTATCAGTCTCTCGCAGTGTGAAAGGAAGCAGCATGAGTAGCTATTCAGTTAATTTGCTAACAAGAAACATGCTGATAGGAAAATAAAACAGAATAACAGAGAATTGAGCTCATCCTTGTGCTGTTTCTCCTTTTCACTGGCCTGTCACAGGCTGGGGCAGATCCAGGACAACTTGGGCTCAGAGGAAATGGGTTGAATGATGCTGGCCAACAGACTGAGGGCATCTGATGGCAGAGAACAGTTCTGCAGGTTAAACCTCTGGATTAAAGGTGAAGATTGCAGCAAAATCTATTTTTTTCTACGGGCTATTCATTATAGCATCTGCCATGTAAAACTGTTTTTTTTACTTATACAGACATGGTAGTGTCAGGGACACCTTTGTGTGTGTTTAATGCAAGCATTTCAATGCCTTAAGGTATGCTGTGCTAAGGCAACCCATTTATTCTGTATAGGCTGGCAGCACCCCTTAATGCACAAAAGACTGGACCTGCAACATTCTCAGTAATGTGTATGATGTGGCGTACTGTGGGCAAGTACATTGGTAGCTACTCTATGGGGTGTATTTACAAAAAGTGCATAGAACTGTTCATCCAGTGAAACAGTAGGAACATTTGTTCTGTGTTAACGGGGGCAATAAATGTTATTAGGCTATTTTTCTCTTCAGTTTGAATGTTTTTCATTCATACAAAATAAAGTGAATCAGGAATATTGCATTATGGCAACTAGATGGAGCTGATGATCATGAGAAATATAGACTTATATCAGTGGCTCTAGTTTAGCAATTTTCTGAATCACTCTATGGAAAACATTAGACCTGAAAGTAGTCTTTTAAAGTCTTTTGTTTTTGCCCCATTCACACAGAACAAATGTACATACAGTTTCATAGGATAACTAGCCCTGCAAATTTTGTAAAAATACACCCCTATGTGTACGTTGGGATGCCATTTCCTGCAACGCATGTTAATACATGGTGCCATTCATTTACAGTGCATGGCACACTATATGCGCAAGTATGAAGTAAGCCTGAAAAATATAAAATATGAATATACATTGCTGCTAGTTAAAGAAATTCCCCTTTCTAGACAGCAGATTTTGCATTGAACTAAATAACGGGAGTACATTTTTGCATTGAATTAAATAATGGGAGTACATGTTTCTACCATCTACAGTCTCCATATAAAAATAACAAGCAGCTCAGCAATTTGAAAAAATATATATGTGTATATATATAATATATCAATTACATAAAGAAATAACTAATGTATATATATATATATATAATATATCCATCCTGTATATCTATATATACTGGAATATGGTATTAAAGATCAAAAGATCAGGGACAGGATCGGGTACTTGTCTGTCAATTCACCGGATTTATTATATATATATATATATATATATATATATATATATATAAAAAATATATATATATATATATATATTATATGTTTTATTTAAATATTTAAATATATCACAAATATATATATATATATATATATATATAAATAAATCCGGTGAATTACCAGACAAGTACCCAGGATCGACTTATGCTTTGTCTCTGTAACATTTGCAACATTTTCTTAGCTGATGAGTTTGAAATACTATATTTTTTCCCTCCGCAGCACATGTCAGGCTATATGTCTATATGGAGATATACTGTAGATACTTGTGAGGGTGCCTGGCTCAGGCCTAAAGAACAAGAACTAGTGGAGACATTTGTTGGCTATGGTGTTTTCTCTGTCTGCAGAGTGTGCTGGATGCTTTGTATGGGAGAGGAGAGGCTGTTGTTGCTTGTCACTCTGCCGATGTTTTTGCTGGTTGTGTTAAACAACCAAAACAATGCAAAAAGCTGCAATCAAGTGGCAATTCTGATGCGGTCAGGAGAATTACAGAGACACCACACAGTCCAACCTTTTAATTATTGTAATTAAATCACTGCCTAATTGCAGCTGGAACGCTAGCTGGCATATTCCCCAGCTACAAGAGAAATGCAAGCACAGAATAAGGTTTGAATGGCACAAAAGGTTTCGGGCTTTGTGTTACAGCATACAAAATGGTAACAAATACTAATTCAATGTAGGGCAAAAACACCCCTTTGCTGAAACATAATTTATGACATGGGAGGAAATCAGTATAAACAGGAATATGTGCCCATACTCAAGAAGTCAGACAGCACTGCTGCTTTTCTTTATTTCTGGATGACAATGTGATGAAAAACTGGGGAACCACCACATATTTCCTCCTAATAACAAAGAGAACCAGTCACAGCCGGGTGTAGGTGGGTCTGCTCTATACCATACACATGGAGGCAGGTGCAGCGGAGTATCACACCAAATAACAGAGGTTCGTACAGAACCATTTCTTCTGCCAAGCTGCCACTTAACATATGCACGGATGCACAGGGGATGATTTGCTAAAACTGGAGCGTGTAAAATCTGGTGCAGCTCTGCATAGAAACCAATCCGCTTCCAGGTTTTTTTTGTCAAAGCTTAATTGAACAAGCTGAAGTTAGGCCTCTTTCACACGGGTGTTCCATATGTCCGTTTTTCATCTGTCCGTTTACAGATGAAAAACGGATCCCCATGTATTTCTATGGACTTGCGGGTGTAAATGGATGTCCGCATCCGTTAACATCCGTTTTTTTTTAACGGAAAGAAAACGGAATGGACGAAAAACAGATGTCAACGGATTGTATGCAGCCCATCAGATCAGGAGAGGACGAGTTGGGACAAGCGAGCGCCCCCCCCCCCCCCCTGAACCCTATCAGGCCACATGCCCTCAACATGGGGGGGTGCTGGTGTTGATGGGTATAAGGGCCTCTTACCTGCAACCCTGGGCTGTGGTTGTGGGGGTCTGGGGGCGGGGGGCTTATTGGAATCTGGAAGCCTTATTTAGCAAGGGGGCCCCCAGATCCCAGCCCCCCCTCTATGTGAATGAGAATGGGGTACATGGTCCCGCTACTTATTCACAAAAAATGTGTAGTGTGAAAAAGACAGGAGGCAGTCTTTGACAAGTCCTTTATTAAAAGAAAGAAAATAAAAGAATATCCTCCGAAGTAGATCCAACGTCAATCACGATGCCCGCCGCCGCGCCGCTTTTAAAAAAAAAACTCCCGCTGTCTGACTGTTCTGCTGGTTTGACAGTTCTTAAATATGTAAGGGGTGGGGTCACCAGGTGGCTCCACCACTTATATATTTAAGAACTATCAAACCAGCAGAACAGTCAGACGGCGGGAGTTTTTTCAAACCAGATCTTAAGGGCTTGGTATGGATGGAGGGGGGGGACCCCAAGCCATTTTTTAAATTATTTCTTAATTGCCAGCAATTTTTTTTTTCACATTCAGCTGTCAGTGGGGAACTAATTACTATGACACTAATTGCAATTTAAAAAGCCACAGATGTGGGACATTAACCTCTAATTGGCATTTTAACCCGCGTGTATCACCTTGTGTGTCTGTACC